GTGGAACCGGGAATTGAACTTAGGCCCCTATGCTTGCCAGATGAGTGCTTATTCTACTGAGCCATCTCCAGGGCCCAAAGTTCAGAAGGTGTTTTTTTTTTTGTTTTGTTTTTTAGGGTTTTTTTGGCTGGCTCAGGATGCCTTCAGGGCAAGTCTAGTAAGGCCTGAAGATCTGGGGATCGAGCCACAGCAACCTGAGCCTGACTGCTCTGTTTAAGCAGTCACTTACACAACTGATCTAATGGGCAGGCCCCCTACATTCTACTTGTTTGCTTCCTTAAAACTTATTTTAGGGCTGGTGAGATGGCTCAGTGGTCTAAAGCACCTACTTACAACAAGCTTAGCAAAGCACAGGGACCGCGGTTCTATCCCCCAGCACAACATGCCAGCCGGCCCCGCCCCCTGGTGGGCTGAGCTGGCCACACACACACACACACACACACACACACACCTAAAAAAAAAAAAAACTTATTTTACTTTCAGTTGTTGGTACTTAAGAAAGGTTAGGTGGAAAAGCTTGTAAGTTTTGAGTTCACAATGGACTTGGCCTTGGACTGGGGAGATGGCTCAGTAGAATAAGCACTTCCCTGGTAAGCACAAGGGCCTGAGTTCAATCCCTGGTTCCACAAAAAAAATGGACTTGGCATGTTATGATGGTCCCCTATTATGCATGGGGACACATTTCAAGATACAATTCGGGGCCTGGGAAATGGCTCAGGGGAATAAGCCCTTGCCTGGCAAACACAAGGGCCTGAATTCAATCCCCGGTTCCACCCAAAAAAAAAAAAAAAAAGATACTCAATTGATGCTGCAACATGCAAACCCTATAACCACTTACCAAACTCTGTGGTTGTAGCATTAGCAGTTGGAGGTACAGCAGCAAAAACTGGCATGAATTTCTTTTCATTTCACAACATCACACACAGATGATTTCTTTCTACTATAATTCTTAATAACTTTAGCATTTTTTCTTTCCCTAAGTCCAGAACTTTCCTTTAAAGGAAGTAACTTATGGTTTCTCTTTGGCATATCTGAATTGCTAGCATCAGTGTTCTCACGCTTTGAGACCACTGTTAACTTAACTAAAACAAAAGTTGTACACCAATGCTGTAAACAGTAGGTCTGGTAACTAGGTGACCTCCGCGTGACTGCAGGCTGGCTAGTGTATACAGCGTGGGCGTTCTGCACAGGAGCTGACTCATGCTCCATTCAGGACACAGTAGCACACCATTTTATCATTCTGCTCAGAACTGGGCTCAGTATGAAACTCTTAGATTATTTCTTCTGGAATTTCCCATTGAACATTTTCAGAACACAGTTGACTACAGGTAGCTAAAATTTTAGAAAGCAGAACTGCCAACAAGAGGAACCACTGTGTTCCTGGAACATAGATTTTTTTTTTTTTAATATAGATTTTATAAACAACATTTCTGGCTTCAAGGAAGATAATTCACTTTGGTAGCTCTAAATGGTACTTGGATATAGGAATAAATGCTCTACTTTTTGCTATAAAACTGAAATGATGGGCTGGGGAGATGGCTCAGTAGAATAAGCGCTTCCCTGGCAAGGGCAAGGGCCTGAATTGAATCCCCGATTCCACCAAAAAAACCCAAAATGATCAGAAAGATGGGAAATCTCTTTTCTTTCAGGTTCTCTCAAGCAGCGCTGCTAGCAGTACCATCGCAGCGCTGTCACCGGGAGGAGCACTTATGCAGGGAGGGACACAGCAAGCCGTAAGCCGTAAGTGCATGCGCCACCTTCGCATGTGTAATTGTATTGTACTTGGTCTGGTTCAGTTCTGGGGTCGTTGCTTAGCGTTTATTTTGTATGCATGGTGCTAGGAGTTGAACCCACGGCCTAGTGCATGCTAACCTTGTACTCTGCCACTGAAGTACACCCCAGTACCTTGAGCAATCCATTTTCAGACTGTAGATGTGTGAAAATACACTGTGGCCTCTTCCTTTTGCAGAGATGGTGCCAAATGATATTCAGTCTGAACTGAAACACTTGTATGTGGCTGTTGGAGAACTTCTTCGACATTTCTGGTCCTGCTTTCCTGTGAATACACCATTCCTAGAAGAAAAGGTGGGAACCAGCTAGTTCTTTTTTTTTTTTTTTTTTTTTTTTCTTTCACAGCTAGTTACTATAGTAGTGGCTTCGGTGTTATAGAAAAATATTGTTGTTTACCACGTGTCAGATACTGGTGTAACCATTTTGTGTACATTATTTAGGCCTCACAGTTTCTATATGGAATTTTTGTGGCAGAATCAGGGATTGAACTCAGGCCCTTGAGCTTGCCAGGAAAGCGCTTATTCTACTGAGCTATCTCCCCAGCCCGTACAGGGGATGTTTTGGTTATACTCATTTCATAGATTAAGAAACTGAGACTCGGGCTGGGGAGATGGCTCAGTGCAATAAGTGCTTCCCTGGCAAGTGCAGGGGCCTGAATTCAATCCCCAGTTTCACCAAAAAAAAAAAAACTGAGATCCAGACCGGTTCCATAACTAATAATCATGCAACTTAAAACTTAAGCCATCCCCGGTTCCACCAGACAAAAAAAAAGATAAAACTTAAGCCAGCTCAGTGGAATAAGCACTTCTCCAGCAAGCACAAAGGCCTGAGTTCAATCCCTGGTTCCGCAAAAAAAAAAAAAAACTTAAGCCTAGTAGGGTTGGCCAAATAGCTAAGTGAATTAAAGTGCCTGCAAGCAGGTATGGGGCCAGGGTTTCAGTCCCTGGACCTGCCATGCTAGCCTTGTCCCCAGAACACATTGAGACTGGGCATGGTGGCTCTTGGAAGGCTGTAAACAGGCCAGTCACTATGAATCCTATATAGTAGTGAGACCCTAAGTACCCTATAGATCCTTCCCTAAAATACAAAAAAAAAAAGCCTACCTACAAGCCACAATAAAGTGGATAAAGAGACTAAATACAAATCACATAAAAAAAATAACAAACATATAAATTTATTTATTTGCCCAGGCATGGTAGTACATACCTGTAATCCCAGTACTGGGGAGGTTGAGGCAAGAGGATTGCTACAAATTTGGGGCCAACCTGGGCTAATAGTGGATTCAAGGCCACTATGAAGTATGCAAAGTGAGATCTTGTCTCAAAAATAGAATTTTTACTTATTACTGTTTTTTCCTTTTTTTTGTTTTTGAGGAACCGGGGATTGAACTCAGGCCCTTGCACTTGCCAGGGAAGCACTTACTCCACTGAACCATCTCCCTGGCCCCTTATTACTCTCTTTTTGAGACAAGGTCTCTGTATAGTTCAGACTGGTCTTGAGTTAACTTTGTGGCCCAAGCTGGTCTTGAATTTGGGTTTTTGGGGGGTTTTTTTGGGTTTTTTTGTAAATTTTATGTGTGTGTGTG